ATGACTAGGGAGGATAGAAGGAGAATTGACGCCTTTGAGCTGTGGTGCTGGAGAAGAGTATTGAATGTACCCTGGACTGCCAAGAAAACAAGCAGATTTATCCTGGAGAGGGTTAAACCAGGCTGCTCCTTGGAGGCAAGGATTCTAAGGCTCCGTCTAACATACTTTGGACGTGTTGCAAGGAGGGACAGTTCCTTGGAGAGGGACATCATGCTTGGGAGGGTGGAGGGACAGCGCAGAAGGGGAAGGCCCTCCCTGAGGTGGATTGATTCAGTGACTGGGGTAATCGGGATGGGAGTGTCAGAGGCAATGCGATTGGCACAGGATAGAGCACGGTTTAGGACTATTGTGCATAGGGTCGCTATGAGTCGCAAACGACTCAACGGCACATAACAACAACAACAACAACAATATATTAGTCATATATTTTAACATATATATATTAGTCATATATTTTAATATATATATGTTACTCATATATTTTAAACATATATCAGTCATATATTTTAAACATATATATATTAGTCATATATTTTAACATCTATATTGCTTGTATATTTTAAACATATATTAGTCGTATATTTTAAACATATATATGTCATATTTTAAGCATATATATGTCATATTTTAAGCATATATATGTCATATTTTAAGCATATATATTACTCGTATATTTTAACATATATCTATTATTCGTATATTTTAAACGTATATTAGTCATGTGTTTTAAACACACACACATATATATATATATTTTAAACATGGGTGTGTGTGTGTGTTTAAAATCCATGTGTTCACCAAGGAGAAATAAACCACAAAACAAGTGTATATTTTTGTGTCTGGGGGGGGGATGTTTAAGATCCTGTTTGTGCAGAAGCACATGTCCAGCTTGGCCTGGCTGCATTTGGTGGACTGGTCACCACCCCGTGGATCTCACTGTGCATCAGGACAGCATTTTTCTTTGGATTGGATTCATGATGTTTTGTTCTCAGTGTCCATTTACCGGGTTGATCCTGGCCAGTGGACGCTGAATTCACTCCTTGGTGCGTCTCTTAACACGGCGTGAGTTCATTTCTTCTTCCATCCCTTGATAGTGGACACTGGCTTGATTCCTTCGAGGACACCTCCTTAACGTGTTATGTTACTTCCAAATATCAAAGAGCAAGGATGTCACATTATGCTTGGAAACGTGAAGGACTAGAACAAAAGACGAAGACCCTCACCCAAATGGGTGGACACAGTGACCGCAGACGTGGGTTCGAGGGTGTCAGAGAAGGTGGGGTTGGGGCAGGACAGGACAGGGCTTGGATCTCCAGTTCACAGGATCCCTGGGGGTCATATTCCACTCAAGGACACCCAACAATAATAACACGCTGTGTGCATGCTGCCTTCTTTGCTAGAGACCAGCTTTCTTAGTGGACATCAACACAAGATGTTGATTCTGGGAGTGTATTTGTGTTTATGTTACATGCATAATGTCGGGGGGGGGTGTGTGTGGATTGTGTGTAAATTTGTGCAAGTGTCTTATCTGAAGGGGGTGTGTGTGTGAGATGAGGTTTCTGCATCTTCTGTACACTATCTGTATCACAGAAGGTCAAGCACAGAAACCTTCAATATGGATTGAATATTTGCATGCTGGTGCATTGGTCAGTTGACGTGTGTGTATGTGACATGGACACAGGCATGTGTGTGTCCACATCCAGTTCCTTAGAAAGCTGACCAACGCACATCACCCCGAGTGACCGCAGCCCTTTGAATGCCGAGTGACCTTGCCTCCTGACCACCTCCACTCCGATGCTGTCCTGGCCCCCGCCCTGCACACACACAGTGATCGTTCCTGTTTCCCCACTGACCATGTCTCTGTCCATCCCCATCCCATAGGCACGGGCACGTTTGGCCGTGTGCAGCTGGTCAGAGAGAAGTCCGGCAGGCGTTTCTTTGCCCTCAAGACTATGTCCATACCCGAGGTCATCCGGCTGAAGCAGGAACAACATGTCCACAACGAGAAGGCTGTCCTCGAGGAAGTCCGACACCCTTTCATTGTCCGCCTGTGAGTGTAACCCACGCCCGGCTTGGGGCTGACACCCATGTCCACCTCGGGATGTGTGTGTGTGTGTGTGAGACACTATGGCCTCAGCTCTGTTCCTGCTCTGGGCACTGTGACTGTCCTCACGTCCATCCAGGCCCCAAGCGGTCAGTGCTGTCCCCACCTTGAGTACCGTGGCTAAAACCACATCCCATCTCCAAGTGGTCAGTGCTGTACCCACTTTGAGTACTGTGACTGAAACCACTTCCCATCTCCAAGTGGTCAGTTCTGTCCACACCTCGAGTACCGTGGCTGAAACCACGTCCCACCCCCAAGTGCTCACTTTTGTCCACACCTCGGGTATCATGGCTGAAAATCACATCCCAAGCCCAACTGGTCAGTCCTCTCTCCTTCTCAGGTACCATGGCCAAAGTCACGTCGCAGCCCCAGATGGTCAATTCTGTCCTCTGTTCTCACCGTGGGTGCTGTCAGGGGGATCCCTGAATGCAATTTGAGTTCTTCCAAAGAAATGATCTGTGGTTTATTTCTAAATATTTATACTCACAAAATTCCCCCAAAATATATACACACACACAAATGCCCCATCCTACGTCCTGGGTCCAAAATCCATTGCACAAACCTCTCAGCATAATTCAAGGTGCATTTGACATGTTAACAAGAGTCACATCAGCTTTGAGCCCTGGGGGTCAGCGGTCAGTTCCATCAGCCAGGGCCACCCTCACTTCCTGTTCGAGGCCATTGAGTCCAGTCAACTTAGTTAAGTGTATCGCTGGACACACAACAAAAGGCCAATGTCACAGAGAGAGAACCCTGTCCACCTGCTGGGCTGAGAAAAAAAACCAAACAGATCCATCAGAAAAACTGATAACTGGTCAATGTGATTGTTGTTGTTCTGTGATGTCCGGTCAATTATGACCCATAGTGACCATGTCTGGACCCTGACCTGTCCTGTGCCGTCATCCACGTCTCTTGACACCCTGAGGCCCATGGCTGCAGTAACCTTGTCAGTCTATTTTATTGGGGGTCTTCTGTTGCAGACAGAAGCCTATTAATAATCAATAAAGTCTATTAATAATCAATAAAGTACATTAATAATTAATGAAGTACATTAATGATCAATAAAGTCTATTGATAATCCACAAAGTCTCTTAATAATCAATAAAGTCTCTTAATTATAAGAAGACAGAACACCAAGAATGAAATCAAACAGAGAGCATCAAAAAACGGGGCCAGCAGTTCGAATCCGCCTGAACTCCACAAAGCCATGCCTCTCTGTGTATTTATTGAGAATCAGGGAAAACAAATCAAAAAGAGAATTCTCTTTGTAAATGAAGCTGAATTTTTCCTCTCTTTTCCAACTGATGCTTAGCTCACAAAGCAAGTATTTCACGTGAATGAACTCTCCCTCCATAGTCGGTGGACCTTGGCTATCTCTTGTTTGCAGAAAACACCTCATTTCCCTGCGATCTATATCACAAGATATTTTCCAACTTGTAGTTTTGTGAATCCTTCAGTTTCCTGATTAAGCATCTGGTTTTTCCTATTATATTTGGTGTGAAATTTATAATATAAAATACCTGGATTTTCTTTTAATATTTGGTATGAAATTTAGAATATAAAATATCTGGATTTTCCTATAACATTTGGTGTAAAATTTAGAATATAAAATATCTGGATTTTCCTATAACATTTGGTGTAAAATTTAGAATATAAAATATCTGGATTTT